CCAACGAGATGGATCGGCCAGGTGGCATCATTGATGGCATCAAGTGTGGCAGCGGTAGTGAGGTTGGCCCAGGATTGGACATTGTTTCGTTCTGTTGTGCATGGGGTCACGATGAGTCGATTCTGACTCGATGGCACCTGACAACAACAACAACATGTCAAGGTTGAGATGTTGGGATATTCAAGTATTTTACGTAATGCTGTTGTTGCTTGCTGCCATTGATCCAGTTCTGAGTCATAGTGAAATCAAGTACAACAGAATGAAACACTGACTAGTCCTGCACTATTTTCACAAATGTTTGATGCCACTTACCAATTCATCTTTTTTTGGGGGTGGGGGGTCTTCTTCTTTTACGCTGACTCTACCAAACATGATGACCTCCAGGAACTGATCCCTTCTGATGATATGTCCAAAGAACAAGAAACAAGAAATTTCATAGCCTCACTTTTAGGGAGGTTTCTAGCTATACTTTTTCATTCTTCTGGAAGTTCATGGCACTTTCAATATTCTTCACCAACACCAGATTTCAGATATATAAAGTCTTCTATGGTCTTCCTTATTCATTGTCCAACTTTCATGTGCACATAAGGTAATTGAAGGTACCATGGTTTGGGTCAGGCACATCTTAGTCCTCAAATTGACATCTTTGCTCTTTAATTAACACTTTAAAGAAGTTGTGAGCAGCAGATTTGACTAACGTAAAATGTCCTTTGATTTCTTGATTGCTGCACCCATTAAGTGCTGATTGTGGATCCAAGCAAACTGAAGTGGGTTTTTTTTTTGTTTGTTTGTTTTTTTTTATAACATTAGCCTTTTCTCCACTTATCATGATGTTTATATTAGTCCAATGGTGAGGATTTTTGTTTTGTTTTTTTACATCGAGGTGCAATCATACTGAATTTTGTAGTTGTTTTGCGTGAGTATTTTTAGATCTCTTTGAGTCCAGCAAGCAAGGCTGTGTTATTTGCATATCACAGGTTGTTAATGAGTCTTCCTCCAATCCTGATATCATGTTTTTCTTCAGATAGTCCAGTTTTGCAGATTCTTTACTCAGCTACAGATTGAATAAATATGGCAAAAGGATACAACCCTGTGCACACCTTCTCTGATTTTAAACTGTTCAGGATACCCTTCTTCTGTTCAAAACGTTGTCTCTTGGTCTATATACAGGGTCTTCAAGTGTTCTGGAATATTATTCTTCACAATGTTATATCTTGCTTGTTATGATCCACACATTTGAATGTCTTTGTATAGACAGACAATAAAGCACAAGGAAACATCTTTTTGGTATTTTCTGCTTTCAGCTAAGATCCACCTGACATTAGCAAGGATATCGCTTGTTCCATATACTCTTCTGAATCTGACTTGAATTTTTGGTAGCTCCCTGTAGATATACATTTGAAACCATTTTTCAATTATCATCAGCAGAATTTTATTTGCATGTATAGTAATGATTTTTTTTTAGCAATCAACAAACCTGAGTTCATTTCTGACTTGTACACTTTGGATAGACAAGTGTGATTAAGCTGTTTTGTGTCCCTCATCAAATGGGGAAATTACTACTGTTCATAGCAATTTGGAGAGGTTTAAATTCTGTGAAAATGGAAGT